CTGTGTGGATTAAAATGGACTCATTTGGTTGCTCAGTTATGATTAATTTATGTAAATATAAAATATTGGACAAAGCTATCATATTCCAATCTTTTAAGAATTCTAACTGCTAGTAAAGCAGCAGCTTTTAGATATCACTAATAAAATATGATTAAATAGTAGCAGTCAGTCCTACTAAACTTATAAATAACTCTTGTTAGACTTCTTCCTTCCTAGACTTTTAAGACAGTCTAAACCCAAAACTCAATGCATATTGAGCTTTCTTTTAAAAAATTCCAAATAGATTTAAGCTAACTGCAATATACTCATAAAAACTGCCAACAGCTTGCTCTCACACTGCTGAGGTCTAGGAACCTCCCTGACAGAGAAAGCCAGGCAGAAGCCCTTCCCTCGCATCTGGACTATATTCCCTTCTGCTTCCTTCCACCTCAGATCTTGAGCACATCACTGTTAGTGTGGCTCAGCACTTCAACCCTGAGCATTCCTGATTCCTCTGCTCTGGATGGATGGGAACTGTGACACTATATATAAAATAGCCATTAAAGCGGTATTTTCTTCAGAAAAGAATTTATCAATGTAGGAAAATGAGTTGACTTGCAAGACCCAAAACAGACAAACAAAAACATAACATGTACCTTGAATTCAAGACAAACCAAGGGAAAAAAAAAAAACAATGAAAGTATATGGGCTTAACTTTAGGTAATTAAGACAGTCACAGAACACATGACTGTCAAAATGTCCAGACCTAGAGCCTGATGAAAGCAATAACCCAAATCTTAACTACATCCTCATCTATACATAGTAATGCATAGTGTATAATCTACTAAATGAGTTTTATGCAAGTTAAGATATAAAATTGTTACCTACTCTATTTTGACAGGGCACCAACTTCATATAATGTTCCAAACCAATGTATAATGGAAATCGTACCAATGCCTTCTGCAGCAGCTGGCATTCAGAGTGCCAAGTTGTTTTCTTATTCACCTGTTATAGTACATGGGACCAATAACTGGGATAGTGTTTAAATTCACAGCTTTACATCTCACGGTGCAGTTTTCAGGCTGATTGACACTGATCGCCCGATCTAGAAACTGCCCCCTTCAAGGCATGTAAACATCATCTGCACGGCATGAAGAGATGTTTTTACTTCAGAATAGCTCTCACTGTCAACAAGAGCACCACGATCTGGAGGAGGCGGCTATAGAGGGAATGTTAGTTAAGCCTGCAACTACAACAGAAAAAACTGCAAAAGCTTCGCTCCCCCAGCAAACAGCCAACACTTACCAAAGACAATATGGAGCTTATGACAAGAGACAGGCTGGGGAGGAGGGGGCTGTAACTCAACTACGAGAAAGCTCCATCTAACAAAATGAGTAATGGGCAGCTTCAGAATTTCCTAAAAACGAAACTTGAAAGCGCAGGTGAGGTTTTTATCCTTCAGTAACAAAGGCAGAACCCAAAAGGAGCGACAGTCTGGCTTTGAGAACTGCTCGGTAGAAACACACACACCAATACGGAACTAAGAAAAACTAAGTACTTAAATGTATAAGATAATTTCAAAAAGTATAGGGTTGCAAATTGCTGTGACTTGATTTGTGGAACACATCTGTAAGTTCACACTGGCGGTTAAAAAGCCAGTTTCAACATTAACTCCCCTCTCAGCAGGAGATGGCTTCTGCGCAAACGTGTCAACACTGCATTGATGCTTATTTGAACTGGCACTGTGAATAATCTGTACATGCTGTGTTAATACGTATTTGTAAACCTGTTCATGCAAGATCAGTGTGCACAAGGGGATATTGTTAAGTCTTACACTTAAGAGTGATACTTTATCTTTGCTAAGATGCCAATCTCTGAAATATAACATCTTAAATGGACATTCTTATCTGCCAGTTAAAAAACAACTTACGTTGCTGAAAGAGGATATACAAGAAAACAAACATGGTTTTTGTGTTGCAGAACTGATTTTAAATGAGAGAATTTATAAAACAAGAAATCCATGGTCACAAAATTTTAACATTTTAATCCTACACATTACAGGGCAAAGAGATACTGGACCCCATCTCCACATTTCATACATCCTAACTTTAGTTCCCATTTCAAATGTTGCCCTAACCACTAAAAACATTAGTGGTTTTACAACCTCTGGATTATGGAAATACAGATTTCTGAAGTAAATGTTATAAAAACAAAAACGGAAGAAAGCTGAACAAACTCTCCATGGAGGAAAACAAATGGAACATCCCGAAGCTTCTAGACTCTTCTCTTCCGTGTCAATGGTCAACTTGTCAACTCAGTGCATTGTGCGGTCAAATGTAATGGTCCCCACGAGTAACACACATCTAACTAGTGTCCATTGATTCCAAATTAGTGGATGAAGAATCTTTTTGGATACTTTCAAAGATGGCTGCCAGCTCAGGGTTAGAGCTGATCTGTGACTGGAATTCACTCATGAGTGGGCTCTTCTCTGCCTCTGGAATGGTTAGCAACGCTGCCACTGCCCTCATAGCGGATCGTTTTAACTCGTCTTGCTTTTCAAACTCCTGCTTGACAGAGTTTGCCTTTACCTGCAATACAAAGTAAAATCAGATCACATGCCATAACATTAACAAAATGTATATGCAGACAGGAACTCCTGGTCCATACGTAAAGCCACGCCCTCATAGTCCAGAAGGCACAATGCACTTCAGTACAGTACACAACAAATCACCTTGAGGCACTACCTCTTTCCTAGTACGGGACACAAGCCCTAATAAAAAAAAAGATTGAAAAATTCAGCCCTATAGAAAGAGAGAACAACTTTGGCCCTACCAAGAAAACAAATACTTAATATTCATCTCCTTTGAACACCAAATAACATTTGCATGCATGCCTTTATTTTTAGTAAAACACTAAACTTGTTTCATCTTCATGGTTCAAAGTCCTCATTCTCCAAGATTCATTTCATTATGTGTCAGTTATGAATCCCTCTCTATCGTATCTTATCCCACACTAATATAACTTCAGTCCACTTTTTACTTTTGTATCTTTTTTTTGTATTTTTTTCTGTTTTGTGTTTTGCCTAAATTCACATACAAAGGGGAAAACATTTTTCTGAGTCTAGCTTATTTTGTAAACCATGATTATCTCAAGGTCTATTCATTTCCCTAGAAATGTATATAATTGGCTGGGCAGTGGTGGTGCATGCTTTAATCCCAACACTTGGTTAAGGGGTAGAAGCAGGTGGATCTCTGTGAGTTCAAGGATAGCCTGGTCTACAAAACTAGTTCTAGGACAGTTAGGGCTACAAAGAAAAACCCTGTCTCAAAAAATATATACAATACTGCTATTCTGCACTGTGTGTGTGTGTTTGCTTGTACCTGTATAGCACATACATACTACAAACCACACTTTAAAATCCATTCATCTCATCAGCACCTACACTGATTCCATAGTTGGCTACTGTGAACAGTGTTACAATAAACATGGTATGTATGTATTTATTTGTATTATAGGTCATGAAAGTTCTTGTCACTTTAATTGTTCTTGAAAATCAGCAAGACTGATTTCCACAGTAGCTAAACTTACTTACATACCTATCAGCACTACCAGAATTCCCTTTTCCTTGCATCCTTACGAGTCTGCTTCTCATTGTTTGATTTTGAGAATGTGAGATGGAAATCTCAATACAGTTTTGATTTGTATTTCCTTAATGACATTTTTATTACTTACTGATCACTTGTAAAAATTCATCTGTAAAGTACCTGTCCAGTTCATTACTCATTTATTTATGAAATTATCTGCTTTGTTGGTTTATTCATATTCTGGGTACCAAGCCCACATCACGTGAACAACGGGCAAAGGTTTCCTCCTGTTCTACATGCTATCTCTTCACCCCATTGTTTTGTTTGCTGTGCGCAATGAAGCCTTTTAATTTCATGTAGTTCTTTCTATGTGTTAGTTTTTGACTTTAAGAGTCCTAGCACGCCTTTAATCCCAGCACTTGGGAGGCAGAGGCAGGCAGATCTCTGTGAGTTCGAGACCAGCCTGGTCTACAGAGCTAGTTCCAGGACAGGCTCCAAAGCCACAGAGAAACCCTGTCTCGAAAAACCAAAGAGTCCTATTCAAATAAATCACTGTCCATGTCAATATACTAAAGCATTGTGTTTCCATTCATGGTTTCAAATCTTAGTTTAGGATCTTTGATCATATTGACTAGATCTCTGTACAGAATAAGAGTAAGGGATCTGCTGGACAATGTTCTTCCACGCCTTTAATCCCAGCACTCCAGGAGGCAGGCAGGTGGATCTCTTTTGAGTTTGAGGCCAGGCTGGTCTACAGAGCGAGTTCAAGGACAGCCAGAGCTATTAACAAGAAACTCTGTCACCAAACAAAAACAAAAAGACAAAACAAAATACCAACCAACCAACTAATCATCAAAATCCCAAACAAACAAAAGCGAGTTAGGGATCTAATTTCGGCTTCCTTGTGTGGACACCCAGTTTCCTGGCATCAGTATTTAGAGGGCTGCTTTTTTTCCCCTCTCCGATTCTCTCAAGTTTCAGAAGAAAAAAGGGGAGGGGACAAATTATTAAAAACAACCAAGCAAACAAAAATAAAGCCCAGATGGCTGTAGCTGTGCAGGCTTCTTCTATCTTTGTGCCAATACCACACTGCTTTTGCTACTGTGGGTCTGTATGAACTTTTAAGTAGCACACTGTGATGCTTCCAACGTTGATGTTTTGCTCAGAAGGACTTTGGCAATTGAGGGATTTGTATTTGTTATCCTGATTTCTCTAGTTTGCACCGAGGCATATAAAAGCCACTGCAGAATCACTCTACTTTGCTAATGGTCTACATCTTTCAAGTGTAAAACCACATTACTATGAAACAGAGATAAGGAGACTAATTACTTTTTTGCTCCTGTTCCCCCCCCCTTTTGCCTTATTACTCTAAGATTTTAGGAATTATAATGAGTAAGAGTGTTAAGTGTGGAAAATCATGTCTTCGATTTTATTTAGAAGGAGATGCTGTATGTTTTCCCAGTAAGCGTAATGCCATCAAGCCGCTGCACACTGCCTTATCCGACTGCGGAACGATCCTTCGGCTTCCAGTTCTACAGGACTTTTCATCACAAAGGGATGCTTAGTTTTGTAAAAGACTTTTTCCTGCATCTACTGAAGTAGTTATGTATTTATTTTTCTTTTTATTTATGTGCAACATTACATTTATTGATCTGTGTATATTATTTGTCTTTATAGTCTATAATAAAATCAACTTGACTTTTTTTTTAATGTGTTGCTTAATTCTCCCAAGTGGATGAGAATTTCTGGTTCTAGGATCACTGAGAAAATTGTCGACAGTTTTATTTTTGATATCTGTATCTGGTTCTAATAGCAGAATGAACACTGCTCTGAGTTAAGAAGGCTTCTACCCTCTCGACAGTATGTGGAATACAGCAGAGTCCAATATAAGATACAAATTCATAGCTATGAGTATCTACAATGGAAAAAAAAAACCTCAGAAATTTCCGATAAGCTAATGATGTACTCCAAAAATCAAGATGTAAAGGCCAACCTGGGCTACACCATAAGTTTCAGGTCAGTTCGTGTTAAACTTGCGAGATTATACCTCAAATATCCTAAAGATTTAGAAAAACAATAATATACAAAACCTGGAAAGCAGAAAGTAAGAAACAATAAAGGTCAGAGTTGAAATCAGTGAGGCAGAAATCAAGAAATTCCCAACAACACAAGAAATAAGCTAGCAGAGATGCTTTTTTGAATAGATAAAACTGACAAAACTATTTTCAAGAGAAAGAGATAAGAGCCAAGTTAATTAGACTTGATACGGAATAAGAAATATTAAACAGCACTGAAATCCAAAAAGAGCATTATGGAATACTGTAAAAAATATATACAAATAAAAGGAAAATTCTAAGTTATGGATATATTTGACCTATAAAACTGAACCAAGTCGAGCAGTGGTGGTACATACTTTTAATCCCAGCATGTGGGAGGCAGAAGCAGGCAGATCTCTGTGAGTGTGAGGCCAGCTTGGTCTACAAAACAAGTTCCAGAACAGCCAAGGCCACACAGAGAAATCCTGTCTCAAAACCACCCCCACCCACCCCACAAATAAAAGAAACCTGAACCAAGAAGACATGCAGAACTGTGGGGGTTAGCTTTTGTCAACTCGACACAATCTGGTGTTAAGAGAACAGAGAAGGTCCACCGAGTAAACTGTCCATCAGACTGTACTATATATAGGTAGCCTGCGCGCGCAGTTTCTTAACTGATACTTAGAAGGGCCCAGCCCACTGTGGGTGGTACTGTCCCTGAGCAGGGTACTGGAGTAAATAAAGCAAACTGAGTAAGTCAAGAGATGCCGTCAGTAAGCAGCACTCCTTGGCCTCTGCACCAATTCCTGCCCTACATTCCCTGTCTGGTAGTCAACAAGCTGTAACATGAAATAAACCCTTTCCTTCCCAAGTTGCTTTGGTCACAGTCTTTATCACACCAATAGAAAGCAAATTAAAATGCAATGAGGTTGACGCAGTAATAAAGAATTTCCCAAGAAAGACAACCCTAAGACTGAAGAGATGAACTTCTGAATTCTATCAGACCCTTGAAGAAACACCAGTGTTCCTCAAAGGGTTTCATGAAACAGAAAAAGAACAAAATTAAAATTTGAAAAGTGAGAAAAAATAATAAGCTAGGAATCTGTAGTTTTTAAATAAAGTATCAGAAAAAGAAAAGATAAAAACTTTTCCTTAAAAAAAGAATAAAGATAAAAAAGAAAAGCTTTTATCTTCTTTTTCGGAGACAGGGTTTCTCTATGTAGTCGTGGGTGTCGTAGAACTCACTAGTCCAGGCTGGCCTCAAGCTCACAGACATCTATCTGCCTCTGCATTCTGACTATTAGGATTAAAGGCGTGTGTGCCACCACCACCTGACTTTTTTATTTGTTTTAAAATTAATTTTATGAAACAAAACAGTAGGCATATGCCTGTAATCCCAGCATTTGGGAGCCTGAGATAAGTAGCAGAGTTGGAAGCCATCCTAACTAAAACACAGGATTCTGCCTCAGAATACACATCCACACTATGTAAATTGCATATATTAAGAATTTAAAAAAATTTATGGTCACAAAATTTTAACATTTTTATCTTAACACAATTCTTTTCCACAACCCATAATTCCTATGCCAGATGTAGCCTACGTTAAGGGCGACGATTACCTTAGTTGTGCAGGTAGCACGCAGGGGTTCAACCAGTCGGTCCAACCTCTGTAGTACCGCACTTGGACAAAGGGTAGAGAGTCGCACCAACATTAAAAATGTCAGCATCTATAAGGAATAAAAAAAGATTCAATTTTTCTAATGACACCTTCTGACACACTTTTAAAATAGAAAACTATATGCAAATTAAAGCATCACTGTAGTTTAGTCTGCCACTCAGAGTGAGATTCACAGCACACCTTGTCTGAGGTGAATGCAAGGGAAATGCAGCTGCCATGTGTCCTACAATACAAAACTAGAAAGCTGCTCTCAGCTTTGACTGCACAGCTGAATCACCGGGGGAAAACACCCACTCCTTAGCGAGGGTTACCGCATCTGCAGAAGGCAGCAAACTCATTCACATGCAATGTAAGTAAAATTCACTGAATTAGATACGTGTTCAACTGGATGCAAAACTTTATAGGAATTTCTACTTTCTCAGTAGAGTTTGGGAGGGCAGATGATCACTTAAAACCTGAAAAATCTATATTACAATATTCTTTCTTCCTTGGACTATAAAGGCCTACGATTGTATCATAAAAGTGAAATTCAGGTACCATGGCTCAGTAGCCACCTTTGCTCTACCAGGCCAAAGGTCCCTGCTAAAGAGTATCACGAAGAGTATGTTCATTTACTTGATCGTTTTTAAGTCACTCATTTACTGACACTGAAAGAGACACAGACGACACACAGGGTAAATAGGACAACGAGACACAGAAGCCCTCAACCTCAAAGGCAGTGACTCCTCCAAACACGCTGCAACTGCTGTCTATATGTTGTGATACATGGCTTAATTTTTCTCACTTATATACATCTAAGTAAATTATACACACAAAAGTTGTTACATCAAAGTCGATTAAATAAATCCTTCCACAGATACTCACAAACATCTTACCTTAATATCATAATGGTCCTTCAAACCATCTTCAACATGATTTAGAAATTCAAAGATATCCAGTCTATCAAGACAGCTGTCCAGAAGTGTATACATACACTCAAAAGCCGCTTTTCTGATGTCCAGACCATCATCAACCGTGTGTTTAAATGGACCCATTTCTACCTGCAAGAACAAGAAGGAACATGCAAGCAGGTGACAATTAAAGACACATGCAGGTAACAGATGGGATCTAGCTCACTCACCTCTCTTATGAGTTCCTTTCTAACTTTTGTCTCATTGTAAAGATGAGGAAGGACAGAGTCCAGAAGGTCCCTTATCAGCGACGGTTTGTTGTGGGCTGCAGAATTGAATGTGACCAAGGCCACTCTTCTTACGTTCAAATCTGGGTCTTCCAAAGTTTTTAGAAAATCACCTGAAAAATTGTTAAGAGAAACAACATATTCGTGGTAAGCTTAGAACACAATTTACACATTATTTTTTCTAAACTGCCTTAGCTATTGTGGGTCTCACTGCTATTTCTTCAATGAGGGCCACAGAGAAGCAGATATAAGATTAAGAGAGCCATTAAGTTTATTTCAGCAGCATGAAAACAAACCATCATTGATGAATGTGTGTACATTTTCCATTGATAACTTACAATTGGCACCTAAAAAGCAGAGGACATATAAACAGCACCTAAGATCCATCATTTACTACTTTCTATAAATACTTTATAAACAGATGAGTTATTCAGAAGCAATGGAGCAAGTAGCCAGCAAACATAACCTTAAAATTCCTTCCACTTTACTAGAAGCAGCAAGAAAGTAAGCTAACCAGACTCAGCAGAAATACAGATCATCAAAGGACAGAGAACTGCACCTAACGCCATCTGTCTTCACTGGGAATTATAGGAATTAACAAAAGCACAAGAGTGTGACCTACCAGGATAAATGTCAAATATCCAGGTACTACTTACACAGATTTTAAAGTCTGCTATTATGAAAATGTACAGAAAGAAATTAAGATGAAAACTTCCTTGAGATCACACATATGGTGCTTCAGATCATTTCCCATATTAACTGTGAAGCTCTGGGCAGGTACTTTAAGTCAAGAGCCCAATTTCCCAATCAATATATGGAGATAATGCTTTCAGGACCCTGAGCAGAGCAAAAGCACACAGCACTGAACAGTGTCCTGCAGATAATAACTTCCTCATCAGTATAGAGAAACCAAGTCAAGATGATGCGAAACTGCACGATCAATTTCAAGTGGAGCAAACTGATAAGTGAGGGGGACTACAGACTATAGGTGCTGCATCTGGCAGCATCTTCCCCGCATCCTATAGTTCACAACACAAATGTCTGAGTACATACTTCTATAGGGAGGGAACAGGTATCTTCTAGGTCTTGCAAGACTACTCATTTGTATCTCTATCACCTAACTCTAAACTGACCCCCTTTCCTGCACACTGAGAAATCGACTTAGCCATTCCTTGTGCCACTGTCACCTGACCTTAAGAAAACATCAAATTATACCCTGAGGAGTTTGAATTACTATTAGCATTAGCGTAACCAATGATGAAAACATTAAAACATAGGAAAGCTATAAAAGTCTAATTCCAGAAACTATCTTAACAAAAATAGGAATGGCTCTAGTGTTTCCTGGGTTTTCCTCTCGATACTTCTGAGAATCAGACCACCCAAGCTTTCACCTTTCTGTTCTTAGGTTTGCGTTATCTTATATGGGAACTTCTCTATGGATCCTGAGTCAGAGGGTTCCGAGAAATCACCAGAAATTGAGGCTCTAACAACACAGTAAGATTCCTTTATTCGGGGCTGGAGAGCTGGCCCAGGGGTTAAAAGGACGGGCTGTTCTCTAGGGCGTCTATTTGCTTTATTCATTCCAGCCATTTTAGGCCATCCCCAAAATGTGGTGATCAAGGAATCTAACTATAGGCTGCCATATTTGACGACTTCCGTTATAAGCAAATCATTTGGTAGTTCTGATAAAGAAATGCCTATATAACTGCTAAACTTGTAAAACTATATATTATGAATGATCTTTATAATGAAACAATTACCTTGGTGCGTTTCACTTCCCTAGTAATAAGGCTATTGAAGCAACAG